GTGTGCGCAAGCGCACACTGCCCGTTCGGCATTGCGGTCATCGGAAGCCCGCCCTTCAGGGGGCATGGCTTGCGATCATCGCAAGTACGATCTGCCTATGCAACATAGGCAGATCGTACGTTTTTTAAAGTACCTTACAACCATCGCAAGACAGAAGTCTTGTGATGGTTGTAAGGTGTGTGTGCCCAGCCTAAGGGGGGTTATAACCTGTCAGTTTCCCCCCCCCCCATTCTGTGAGTTTTCCCTTCACTTCCTGTCTCATAGCCACTACAGGAAGTGAAAGCCTTGGTGGTCACCAGAACCAGTGTTCCCATTGGAAGATTTTGCATCTACTCCTGTGCTGATAACTCAAAATTGGGATTTTCTTTAACTTTCAGTCTCCAAGACAAATAGAGAGGTGGGTGGATCACCCTAACGGGGACACAGAAAGCAATAAAAACATGACAGGGGTTCTAATCCACTGTACCCAAAACTAAAAAAGAAACATTTACCCTCAGCTGCATTTTAGATCTGTCGGTTACCTTCAGTTTGGCATTAGTGGGACAATAAGCTTTCTGTAGGTAATCCAGAGTGTGGCTCGGGGGTTAATTTTCAGTACCAAAAGCAGTAACCCCTGAGCCACACCCAGGATTACACTGCGCGTCACTTACCTTGTCCCTACGAGCCCCGCTGTGTCCTCCGGCCGAGGAGGCAAAATGACAAGGTCTCCTGCTAGGCCACCCCAACCCACTTTTACTGCCCTTGCTCCAATCTTCCGGGAGTCCTACTCTGAAGGCTCAGATGGTGTTGGAGCTTCTACAAGGCTGATGATATCATCCTCCTCCTGAAGGCGTTTGAGGAAAGTCTCCTTGATGATGGGAGGCTAAGGCTGGGCACACACCTTACAACCATCGCAAGACTTTTGTCTTGCGATGGTTGTAAGGTACTTAAAAAAACGTACGATCTGCCTATCTTGCATAGGCAGATCGTACTTGCGATGATCGCAAGCCACGCCCCAAGGGGCGGGCTTCCGATGACCGCAATGCCGAACGGGCACTGCGCTTGCGCACACCGGCCCGTGCGGCTTTTATCGTACGGACATGCCACAAACCCGCCGAACATCGTACGATGCTCAGCGGCTTTTCGAACATGTCCGTAAGTTAAAAGTCGTGCGACCTTACAGTAGTAGAGGTCGCACGGCTTCCACACACCTTACGATAATCGTACGATCGCGGGATTTCCCCCGATTATTGTAAGGTGTGTGGGGACCTTTAGAAAGACTTGGGAGGATTCCATGTGGATTTTTTGGGCCAGGATAAAGACATTTAGGGTCTTGAGATGCAAGATGGGGCAGATGCCCTTTTGGGTTTTGGAACTGTGAACTGGTTGAAGTAGAACCTCTGGGACCATTCTACCACAGGGAATGGGGCAATGATACTTTGCTTCAGAAGACCCTCCAGGGCGGTGTGGGATCTGCTAATCTGTGGGTGACACAGGCAAGTTGAAAGTCATAAACTGGGGAGGGAGCCAAGAACGAAACTCTAGTTTGAAGTCCTTGGCAACCATCTCCAATATGAAAGCATCTGAGATGTAAGCTCTCCAAGGGACTGCAAAGGCTTACAGAGTTCCCTCATGCTGAGGATTTTGGGGGACATGGCAGTCCAGGTTTTGTGGGCAGACTGGATGTCAGACTTAGGTTTGGCTTTGGAAGTAGAAGACACTAAGCAACAAATGGGACTGTGGGCCTCCAAGAAGTGAATCTAACAAGGCTTCTTTTGCTCAGGAAGAGGAGTTGTCTTGCCCCTGGTGACAACCTCAATGAAGGCATCCATGGCAGATCCAAGGAGGTGCTGTTCCTCCGAGCACAAGCGCTTTTTGCATGCGGGTTCCGCAGCCCAACACCAAAGAGTGCTCGCCTTATGTTTACTGACTGGGGGCTCTAAAAAGTCACAACCAGGACGGATTGTAGAGCAGGGCCTGCCAGCAAGAACAGGGTGCCAGGAAAGGACTCCCAAAAGGTGCGTCCTCCAGTGGAACGGTAGATTCTTTAAGACCGGATACTACCAATTTCACAGACAGGGCACCCCATTTATGAACAAAGTCCTCCTCAAAAGGTTGGTAGACGCTTTGGGAAAAATCTTGAATTATGTCCCGTCTACACAAAAGGAAGAATGCAAAGCGGGTACACCAGAAGGGCCTTGGCAGTCTTAGGAGCCCTAGACTGGGGACAGTACTTGAACTTGAACTATACAAGCTGCGCAAGATAAAGGGCTCATTCACACAGGAATCGGCCAGCACATACAGCTCCATGCACGGCCGTATCGGGCAGCTCCCGGGAAGGACAGGTGCTGCATGTGACTAGTACGCAGCCCCCGTCCTTCTCTATGGGACTATGCGGCCGTACGCCACCCTACGCTCACACGCCCTGCACGTCCGTGCAGGTGAACATACTCTTACGCTGACAGGATGGATCCTGTCTGCGTCTGAGCCCAGACACACGGACCTGCACTTGGGGTGAGCGTATGGCCGCGTAGTCCCAAAGAGGACAGGGGCCGCATACTAATCACACGCAGCACCTGTCCTTCCAGGGAGCTGCCCGATACGGCCGTGCACGGAGCTGTACGTGCTGGCCTTTTCTAGTGTGAATGAGGGCTTAAAGTAGAGCTTACTGCACAGATAAGAACTGAGTAATAGCAGAACACCACAACACTGCAGGAGTAAGTTCATCTGTCAATGACTAGAGACTCAGACAGGATTTTAACAGCTACAAGCTCAGAGGCCAGTCAGATCAGACCGACTCTGCAAGGCAAGGTGCATGAGCATGCTTATGACCTCTGCAGTCAGTCAATCATTACTGCTTTTTGACCCTGAATGACTGCAGTGAATTCCTTCCTGGACACAGCAGAGGAAGCGGCCAAACCTGAGAAAGCCAAGAAAGTTTAGTCAGTGTAGCATAGGCTCAATATTCCAGGCCATCTGTGTCAGACACCACAGGGGGCACACTGCAGGCAGCAGCTTAACAATTTGCGGCTGTGAGCTGGAGGCACCTGGTACAGCAGGACGGTTCCCTCCCTTTGTCTAGAATGAAACTTGTTGCACAAGACAGATGTCAACAAGTTTAGAATGCAAAGCTAGATGTCAGATACTTGTGAACCTGGCTACTAGGGTAGGGTCAGATGGTCGAAGGGGACCAGACCACTGTACGCGTGCAGCAGGAAGACAGAAGAGTTCCACATGTCTCTTTGCTAGTGTCCAAACCTCCTATAGGCAGCAGTATAATCTCAAAATTCCTGTCCCTAAATTTTGCTTTTATTTACCCTCCACCTTCAAAGTGTCATTAACCACTTCCGGGCCACGATACGACTATAGGCGGCAACCAGCAGAAGTGGTTAAAACAAAGAACACGGCCGCAGTTGGCTTCCCCAGGCACCGCTATCCCCGTGCAGCGCCCAGGAGCGCTCGGCGAGTCTCCCGCCGCAGTGATCGGAGAAAGATTCAGCGGCTTCCAGCCGCTGATCTCTTCTCCGATCACTAGACCCAGAAGTGATGTGTATTACATCACTTCCGGTGTCACTCGCTACAGTCTCCGGCTATTAGAACCAGATCTCTGCTTCATCAGCTTCTTTGGGGACCCTAGGTGACATTAGGGGTCTGAAAGACCCCTGATGTCTCCATAAAGAGGACCTGTCACACCCTATCTGCTATTACATAGGGTGCTGGTTAGCCCCCCTATGTGATAGCAATAGGGTTAGTGTAAAAAACAAAAAAAAAGTGTTTCAAAATTAAAACATAAGAAAAATAAAAAAATGCAAACATTTTTTTTTAAGTGTGCCTACATGCAAAAACGACAATTGCGCTACATGTTACATATCGCCGTTACATAAGAACGTCGGAGTGAGAGCAATAATTCTGGGTCCATCGATTACGGTTAGCACTAAACTGGTGAGCGGTAGAAGCGTTTAAAGTGTTCCCTATGGGAAATTTTGGGTATTGACTGTTTTTTGCAGCTTCATGGGCAAACGCAATTTTAAGGCTTGACATGTTTGGTATCAATTTACCTGATTTTACTACAGGGCCTGTGCTTTTAGAACATATATTGTTTGGGGGTTTTGAAGCTCTTTTCTAGCCAAAAAGTTATATATTTTTATCATGCGTGTGCAAACCGTAAGAAAATGGCAAGGACAACAAGCGGTTAAAAAAACCAACCAAAAACAACTTATGAAAACTGCTTGTATTTCACTAAATACATTAAATCTCTTCTATAACAAATATACAAAGAAGGCACAGAAGTTATATTTTAGGTATTAAACCACCTGTAAATGCCCAGCTTCCGGGCATGTCGATGTTCTGAAGAGTTATCAGAGTATGAGAGGGCTATACAAAAATGGGTAGCAACTTCACTATATAACAGTTACAAGCTCCAAGCTCATCATGCAGGTGAACCGCCGTGAAATGTAATGAACTTGGTGCTAGAAAAAGCAGGGAAAGCACGGCATTGTGGGTGCAAGGCATGGTGGGTGCACGGCTCTCCAAACTGCCATGCATATATGGCATAAGAGCTTTGGGCACTCCAATCTTGTAATCAGCACACAATAGTCCACCGACCAATGCCAGCTGTGCAGCCCACATTTTGCTTTCAGTTCCTTAGCTGGATAAGCAGCCGATCGGTGAGGAGACATCAGTCCGCAGTGACGGAACGGATAAAGAAGCGGATTGTCCACGCGTCCCTTATTCTTTTTCCATAGGTCACACGGGCTCAGAACTGCTGTACAATGAGTTTCTTCTTCACGTCGTGCATGAATCTGTTCATCTTGAACAACTCGCTGTCATAAAACGCCGAAAGGTTGTGGATGTTGATCTGCCGGGCCTGAAAACAAGGACACGAGAATTTAATAGCGGCATATAAAGAAAAAAAAAGAACGCTCACTGGCAGTTAGCAGTAGTGATGCACCATTAACCGCGAGGCTTTGCAGGTCAGGTAACGTTGTAATAGGGGCCATCGTTTGACTGATGCGCCGGCTCAGCGGAACAACTCGCTTCCAGTTCAGCCGTAACCTTTCCATGCCGGTATCATGCTCAAAAATCACTGCTTTGATCAGATTTGTGTATTTCACGCGTCATTTGGAAATTGTGAAAACTGCAAAGGTTTCGACTTTCAGGCAATTTTTTTTTGATCACGTTGCAAAGATTTTAGAACTTTATTTTTTTCATTGCTATGACCCAAACCAACCCCACCCTGTCTCAAGTGCGGGAGTTTCCCAGAGTGGCATAAAGCAAAAACTGAAAGGCTGAGCGTTAAAACCTTGATTTTCCACCCCTTTATTAGGGATGCACCGATACTGGTATAGAGTATCGATATACTTTTTTTTCCCGGTACTCCCCGGATACCGAAAGGCCCATTAAAGAAAGCCAGGCGGCGTGTAAAGACTGGCCACGTAGCTTCCTGATTAGCAGGGAAGCCGTCCCCATGCTTCTCGTCACTGATTGGCT